TAATTTTTCATTTCCATCATAGGGTACTATTTGATTATCAGATTCAAAATAGTTAATACTGTTCATTTCTGCTCACTAATGCCTAGGCTATTGATCTGTGTATTCTATTTCATTTTCACCGATTTCTATTTTTCTATAGCTCATACGGGTACATTCCAACTTCTGATTCTTAATGGATGTCTGCAACTGTTTCTCCTCATTTTGCAACATCGGAAAATAAAGGTCTTCATCCATCCGTCCATGTCATTGAAGTGGACTGTCCTGGGGGAGGCAGCTTCCCTAGTCCTAGTGTGAGCCTCTTCTCACCTGAGAGGCTCAGCTTACTTTTCAGACAATGTCCTGCTGACATTTTTGTTTGTGTGTCTTCTTTCTAGTCTGTCTTAGTCTGAAAGCTTTCCATCATTGATGACCCTGTTGGTATTTGGAATATCGGTGGCCTAATTTCTAGTATCCTAACAGTACATTAGTCACCACAGTACAACATATGGACAGATGAGTGGTGGGTGATTCAGCTTAGTAAAATTGTTTTTAAATGGAACAAAACAAGTAGAATTAATACAAGTTAAAAAAAACAACCCACAATGCAAGATAATCTTTCAAAGGATTAATACCGGTAGGGTCAGATAGCAAAGTAGCAACTGAAGTCTTGTCAGGTTTTACCTATGCAATTAAAGTCAGAGTTAAGGCAGGTGTATGATAATCTTAGCAAAAGACTTTCCAACTCCTGCCACTGAGGAATAACAGACTGTAGCTCAAAAGTCCTGAGTTGATCGGTCTGCTTTTATCAAATTGGCCACATGTCAAAGATGAATCTCTGCCATTTTGTCTGTTGATATTAATGGAATCCCATGCATACAAAAGATGGCCTGCATGAAAAAAATAGAGCTTTTTCGCTCTGTGGGTCCTGATTCAAACATTCTCCCAGCCCACACAATGCCTTTCTTAGTCGACAGCTTTCTTGAGGGAAGCCCAGGTATAACGAGATTAAGAGTGGCTTCAGGCATAGGTTGAAGAATAAGCTTTTCTGTCAACTTGCCACCTTGCGCTGTTTGTCAGGGACTTGTGACTTGGCTCATGGGATGAAAAGAAGCATAGGTATGCAGGTATGACCTCAGCCCCTCTTCCCCTAAATCATTCTGACTGCTCCTCCACCCCAAATGCTCTCCCCTTTTCACTGAGTCAGGTAGAGAGCAGAGTCCTAGGTATCCGATGTTAATAGCAGTGTATTTAAACCATTCTCTTCCCAGGGAATGGAAGAGAATCCATCTTAAAAAGTGAGCTGTAAGAATGCATCCAAGAGCTGGGACTTGGGGCACTGGGAAAAGGCTGCCCTGCCTTGGAGTTTGGAGCCTGTGCTGTATTGGATTGGGTCCCTGGCTTTCATCTGGGCTTTGTTACAGTATTGTCACATCCTGGGTCCCCCGCTGCTCTGAAACTGAACCCTGTCTGTGGCAGGAGGCCTCATGCTGGCAGCACAACTAATAATGTAGATGGAACAATCATTTGTTTTTGTTTTGTTTTTAATCATTTTATTAGGGGCTCATACAACTCTTAACACAATCCATACACACATCAATTGTGTAAAGCGCATTTGTACTTTCATTGCCCTCATCATTCTCAAAACATTTCCTCTCTACTTAA